TTGTAATCTAGGCCGTTCGGGATTATCGACGAAGGTTGCCGGTACTATATATTCTTGGTTTGCTGATTTTATATCGTTTGATTTACGAGATTCGATGCATCTGATTATGTTTCTGCCACTCTTTCGCTTTCTCAAGTGCGTTTGTCTCCAAAAATCACGATGACCTCAATCCTTCTGGTAATATCGATAAAGTAGCACGCGCAGGTGAATACGCGGTTATTGCATGCCAATTGGTTAGCACGGAATTCCCATTTAGACTAGATCGGAGAATCACTATCGAAAAGAAATGTTACGCCGCCATCGAGTCGCGAGGAGTAAAAGAACGTTCCGTCGCGACGCGTATGAGCGAAGAAGGAAAATGTCACGTGTGCGTTGTACCGCGATATCGCGCGCTTCCCTTTTTAAATTCCAATCGTATGCAACCGGTTCCCTTTACGACCATCTGAGACTCCCGGAGGATTAAATTAAAGCCTGATCGTGTGCTCTAATCGCCGGCAATCTTGAATCACGCGGCGCTGAATCGTAGAAAATGACGTGCAGACTCCGCGCCGCGACGAAACAGTAATATTTCATCCCGTCCAATTGCTATCTTATTGTTATTACAATTATTGCCGATACTAGATAGATACTAACAGGTGATCATGCTGGGACACAAGGGTCTGGAACTGAGTGCTCTCGTTAGTGATGTATATGTCACTTGACATGTACTTCTATTTTGTGTAGACGTACCTCGAGTTGCACTAAAATAAAATTACATGCGAGTAAAACTGCACTGAAAGAAAAAATTGGCTGAATGTGGCATGACATTTTTAATTGATTGCAACAGCCCCCCAATTAAAAATACTATGCCATATTTTATCATCTAATTTACTGTAGCAGCTAATCTTTTCTATCAATGCACATACTGTGCTATTAATACTCGGTCATTAAATTTAGGACATATAATAATTATTAATTCCACTTTGATCCTAATAATTAAACGTGGATATATCTATAATTAATTTACATTAACTTAATTAATTGAAAACTTAATTTATTAATTAAGTTGTTTCTCATCCGTTTATGTAATAAGTCTAAGAAGTAGCTATACAGAAAATTATATGGATCTAGAGCAACTCCGTTCAAATATAAGATAAGTAAATACATGCTCCGTTCAATGATGTATGAATACTAATCTTCTCTTTTTTTTTTTTTGCAAAAAATATTTGCCTTGAGTTAGACATTCAAATACGATCAAAATGAGATCCGTAAAAGATATATTCGATATCACGTACAATCAAGTCCGACGGAGCATGTCGAGCATAATTCAACGAACGAGCGCAAAGGTTAATAGTGATTATACATTATTATACACGATACTCTTCTTATTTCGTACAAGTGAGATTAGACTTACTCTCGCACACCTGCGGCGAATGTATCTAGGATATGGGTCTATTCACTTGCCCGGCGTAATCTGCGGTAACGTCATTAAATTACCGATAGCGCTGATATATACTATCGTCACAAAAAGTGAAATAATGAAGTAGTGGATTAAGTCGCGTGCTACAATCGACGGTGATTAATGTTTCAAATGATTAGACATGTTTGCTTTTTAATTCTAGAGTCTATCGAAAGGGTTAAAAACTGAGCTAATATTGCTGGTGAACATATCATTTACGATATCCTTGTGAAATATTTGCGTGTAAAGCTAACATTCTCGTGTATATGATAGTGACTCGATTCACGGAAATGTTATTTTATGATTATTGTATCACTGAATCTTTACATGACAGTTCGATTATAATCTTGATGATCTACAGTCTTTTTATTTCCTACCGTTTAATACCGTGTCGTTCGTTGACATGATACGATGTAGAAACCGTTAATTAGTTTCAGTCGCAGAATCCGGTTTTAGCTAGAATAACTTTCTTATCAATCTTGGGATTAGCTAGGATATTGATTTATAGATAGAAACTACGATTAACCTGTCACGATTATTTTTAATGATAATAATTTAATGATTTTTTTTTGACGTTTTACTAACGGATATAAATAGTCTGAAGGTGCATAAATTATTATCAATACAAACAGTATTCTTATTTTATTATAAAGATTTAGTTACCAAGTTTGCAATAGACTACTTTTGGAGAAAAATGTCTTACATTTACTTTTTATTAAATATTTTTAGTAAAAAATTTATATACGTTATTCAAATATTTGTACACTGAGAAAAAATAATTTTAAAAAATTACTAATAACAATGGGAAAGTGAATATAAAATAATTTCCTGTTTGCTTGGCAAAAGGAATTAAAAAAAATTTCTTTACGTATAATTCACGAAGCGCTTATTTGCTTCAAAGCAAACAAAGAATTATTGTACATTTAAAATTATATATACATAATAGTAGTGTTAATACCAAAGAATCTTAAATACCAAGAGTCTAAAAAATAGGAAAGGTAAATACAACATTCAAAGTACACTTGAGATATTTAATAACAAGATGTATTGAAAGTAGCGTGCTGCACATACGAATTTTTGGTAGTTTCGGAGCGCCCTGAGAGAACTCGAGGGAGGCCACCGAACATATAATTACTTAGCTCGTCCGAGTGAGTTTTTATGATCTGTCCCTGGTTCGCCCAGTTTTTCTTGGCAGAGCGGCTTGTGGTCGCAAAATCCACGGAGCTTGCCGGCCGGTGATGGTCAACGACCAGCAAATACGATTCGATTGTATTATAGAAGAAAAGTCCTTGCCTATACGATTGGTGGGAGTCAATGGGCATTTGACGACCCGCAGACCTACATTTTCTTCAAGCTGTTGTGTGCCATTGCTCTCACAAAATCGTCGTTATTGTTATATTATAGAATTTCAAGGAAACGACAGATTTTCAAAATTTACATTGCAAGAGTTTTGAAAAGAGTTGGATTTCTCTGTTCCATCTAGATTCAGTCAGTTTCGCAGAGGCCTAATTAAACGAATTGTGTTAAAATAGTATTTTTCTATTATACGACGTTTTGAAAATAGGGCTGTACATATATTTGAAATACTTTTATTTAAAACACAGTTTTTGTAATACAAGTGTATTTTGTATTTCAGCAGAGCACGTAAAAGTATTAGATACGTATTTTGTATTTAAAATCAAAAGATTGAAAGTTATGTACATATTTTGTAATTTAAATAATAAGATTCATTGTCAATTTCAGTATTTAAAATACAAAATGCACATGTTTTACAAATACTGTTTTTCAAATAAAAGTATTTCACATTGCCCACTTCTGGTTTTGAAACAATCGATTTTAATTTGTGTGTAGAATTGCATACACACATAATTTCTTTCTACAAAATTTAATTCTACAAAAGATAATAATTTAAGATAACAAATTAGACACTTTGCATTTTTATTCTATTTTTTTTTACTTTCTTATTTTGATTTACGTATTCTCATGTCTTATTTTTTGTTTTCTGTCAAATCTTTCTTAATATAGATCTCCTGACCTTAATTTTAATAATAGTAGCTTGAAATATAAAAAAAGGTGAAGTCTTGAGAAATGAAAAGTAGATTGTAAGTGAGGAGAGAGAGATAAAATAAAGAAAATTCTAAAGAATTTAAGACGCGATCTGTAATTGTGGTAGTTGCGACCGTGAAATTAACAGTAAAAAAACTAATTGCTGACGCACATAGTAAATGATCAGCGGATAGGCCACTTTAGTCGGCATGAAGCGAGTCACGTTCTTTATATTTGCTCTTCTCGCGCTTTGAACGTGATGTTCTTATTTTCAACAGTTAATCATATCGATAAGATTGCTGAAGGGATCGTCGGGTTGAAGTGCGAGCGCGCCCAGCTATATCGCGAGATGAATACGCCTGTCCGATGGCGGAACCCGCTTCCGATCGTGGTTCGATCCGGTTTCGCGTTTCGGCGAGTGATTCGTTCCGCGTCGGGTACTCTCTTTCTCTCTGTCCGGATAAATGGAGAAAGGAATCGAAAGACTTTACCGTTACATTCATTCGACTGGCGCCGTAATTACTGTTGCCACTCGCGGCTACGGACATCGCTGACTCGGCCGGCGCATCGCTGAGATCGTTCCGCGGATGCTGCGGTGCCGTCGCTATAATACCGATCGTATTTATAGAGAGCCCGGTTATGGCTGTGGCGTTTAAATCCCACCGATAGAAATACGCGTGAGTTACTTATGACGCCAATCGCGGAACGTTATGCGAGAAAAGAGCCGAGCAAGATTATGGCGCCGCCGCTTGCGGGTACCAAGTGAATTACAACGGTTTGATAATCCCGCGGAACGGGTTCCATGTGATATAATGCGGAACGGATGCGAGCATGCATTACGCTTCACGAACCTGGATGATGAACTTTATCGTCGCTTGTCGTCGAATTATAAATCTCTTCCACACGTCTCGTACACATTACGGCTCTCATATTTTCCCAAGTTAGGCTTGATTCTGATATTCCATTTAAAAGATAATTATTTTTATATCTTCGAAGCTCTGACGTGATGATATTAAAATATTTAATTGTGCAAATTAAGTTTTTTTAATATAATCACGTCAGAGAGAAGAAGAAATTTTGACAAATTACCTTCCTCGGGATGATATGAAGGTCTTCTCCGAGAAAACTTTCCGTTCCCGCGGATTTGAGAGTTAACGAAAAAAAAAGATGATAGCGATGATATATTATCTTATTACCATAAGTGCAGCTTTATTATTGTTATTTATCGAGAAGTGTAGAAATTAATGGACTATTAAAGCCACGCGAGGAGGCAGATGCAGAGATGTCTCGTTAACACGCAGCGCTTCTTCTACTGAAGTTCCATGAAAAACTAATCACGAACCTCGTAATTATTTCTAAGAAGTCGTTTACGTCCGAATAAGCAGTGAATCGTAATTTTTGTTAGAGCCAAACCTGTTTTGTTATTTATTTGCAGCCACTGTGCGCCAGTTATACAAGTGTGTTATACAAACGGATGAGGAGGAAACGCGTTATAATATTTTCAGGTTATTTTTCGATTGTATTGATACTCATAACGTTTATTTGTAATGATTTATAGCATTCGAAAAATTTACAAAATTGTTTTTTGTACTGTACATGCATATGTATTAAACATGAAGGCAGCATAAATCATTAATCTCAGCGATGCAACATGTTTACGTGTTAATGTAGTCTTTCATTTTTTTCCCCTGAAAAAAGGAAATGATGTTTCAATCGATGCAAATGTAAGTTGATTGTTTCGGTTGATCAGTTGTCTTGGCTAATATATTTACCAGCTTCCACTGCTGGCTGACGCGTAG